GCAAATGCCATCAGACTGATGGCATTTGCAAGTCAGTGTAAAAAGCTCTTAAAGGTAAAGCAACAGGCTCTTTTAGACAACAAAGATTTTCAAGTCATTTTATTTCAAAAGCCTCATTTCAAAGATATAGCATATAAGCTGCAATCAATAAAGAGAGTAGGCTAAACTCAACCAGAGGTAAAAGTTGATGCAGTGACACGACTAAATGTAATAACTTGGTTTTGTTCATAGACAACTTGAAATAAAGCATTGAAATTGTAATAGCTTATTATTTTCACATAAATTCACAAAGCTCGCTCGTGCTCGCCCCATAATGTTTTTACATCGTCCTAGTTAACTGTATTGTTATAATTATCTGAGCAGTGAGTCCCATTATTATGCTGCCTATCATGATTAATGAATTCCTGCTCTATAGCTCTGTGTGTGGGCTGGTATCAATGAATCTAAATTAACTGATCACAAGATGTCCTTAGAGAACAAGTTTTCTACTGCTTTTGAGAAAGGAGATCATGAAGAAGCTGTTCGCTTACTACCATTAGTGGAGGAACCGAATAAAATTAAAAGCTACTGTAAGGGGGATGATGTTAGTTTGCTTCATTTGTCTTCATACAATGGCTGGTTAGAGTGTTACAAAAAATCTCATCACTAAATATCACTGTGACCCACACGAAAGAGATAGTGGAGATTGGACTTGTCTTCATTGGGCTGCACAAGGTAATCATGTTGATGTGATAAGATATCTCATTGATGAGTGTCACTGTGATCCAAAGGCTGTTAGCAGAACCGGGCGGACACCTCTTCACTGGGCTACTTTTTGGGGTAATTCTGCAGCTGTTGAATATTTACTATCAACTGGTAAATGTGATCCATTGGCTAAAGACAATGAGGGCGGGAAAACACCACTTAAACTAGCTAAGGAGAGAGGTCACACTGATATTCTTTCTGTCTTTAAGAAGTTTGGTGATATAAAATCATCCCATCCAATTCAGTGATTCTTATGTTAATGTCCTCCTTGTGGGTAATCCTGGAGCTGGTAAAACTACTCTTAGTCATGTCATCAATGAAACAGCTAGTTTTACTCTTCTTGGTTCCTTTAGAAATGTTGGAGGGGTAGTGGCCTGTACTGCTGGCATCATTCCTTATAAACTACAACACAGGACACTGGGTAACATCATTCTTCATGATTTTGCTGGTCATTCGGAATACTACTCCAGTCACAGTGCTGTCATTGAGAATCTGTTACAAGGTTCTGGTGGTGTGTTCCTGATAGTAGTCAATATATTGGAGAAGGAAGCAGTCAAACAGCTTCATCAGTGGCTAACAGTTGTGAGAAATGAAGCACAGAAAGCTCTTAAGCCATGCCATGTTATTGTAATAGTCAGTCATGTCGATGAGATAAGTAATCCTGTTGAAAGGAGAAGGAGAAAGGAAGAAATACAGGAGATTATTGTAAAGGAAAGGTGTGATGGTGTCTTCTTAGATTGTCGTAAGCTTGGTGGGAGTGGTGTGGATTCCTTCTTCAATAAGTTGTCTAGTGCCTGTGGGTCCATTCGTAGTACAAGTGGAAGGAATTTGAGTCTTTATTGTCACATGATGTATGGTCTACTGGAGGAAAGGAAAGAGAATATACTGACCCTCACTGATGTAATGTCTGCTGGTGAGGACAATGATGATTACTTTATAC